GGAAGGAGATCTGAACTCCAATTCTGAACGAAAAATCGGCTTTTTCTCCGGCCACAGTTGTCTCTGAAAAGTAGGACTATTACCAATCAAGAGCGAATAGACTGTTTAGTTTACCCTGAAATTACCCAAATAAGTGAACGGTCCCTTTAAGACCGTGAAATGCCTCTCAAAAAAAATTGAAGACATGTTAAATTAATGGAACATCTACTAACTGTTGGACGTTGCTTTAGTAAGAAGAAAAAATGGCTGAAAAGGGAAATTTAAAATATAAAGGTGAAATGAGGAAAAACATTTTTTGATAGAATACAATACAATTGTATACAATTGTATACAACATTATAACACTTCGATATAACAGTAAGATCTTTTTCAATATCTTTATTCGAAATCTTTATTCGATATCTTTATTACCATCTGTAGAATAAAATAAGATCTAAATTAAGCAATTTCAGCTCTGATCTGAATGAAATTTTAGATTTGTAAAGAATCTATACAATTATAACATTTATGTTTTCTTCTTTTTAGTTTAACAAAAATAAAAGTTCTGAAAAAAACGACGCAAATCACACTTCTTTTTGAATCACCCTGTACAAAAGTAAAAATTTAAAATTATATTTTTCCGCAATTCAGGGTCTTTTTTAGGGGAAAAAATCGTTGCAATTTATTTTTTATTATTGGAATATTGAAATTCAATATTAATAATGACAACGCTTTTAAAGCTTTTCTATAATACAAAGATTAAACAAACGGCCCAGCCTTATATAAACATCTTTAATGCTATATTTAGACTGAGTGTTCAATGAATTTTATTTTATAGATATTATAAAGTGTAGAATTGAGATGTATCTATAGAACTCTTATTGAAGTTCGGAAAACAATTTGGTATTATTGAAGAATGATGACCAGAAAATTCAACAAATAGGGATAGGGGGGGGGGGGGGTAAAGAAGACTTTAGATTTTAAAAAATAAACCTGTTATATTAATGTATAAACAAAGACTGTTCGTGTAGTTTCAAAAGGCCCTCCTTCCAAGTTTAAGAGAGGCAAGTTAAAAATGAGATATATGGCATAAATTACTTCTTCCCCCCCCCCCCCTCCCTTTGCCTCTATTTATAAGGTTAATGAAAATATGTCTAAAAGAATAAACAGTCATCTTTTGATGTCTCTTTTATTAACATTGACAAGCCTATACAATGGTATATGATTTACTTAAATCCCCCATCCCGAAAATTTTATCCAGGGGGGTAGTGTTTTTTTATGAATGATGTATGGTTAATTTTTGGAATGTAATTAACCCGGGAAGGTTATTGTGAAGGAAAGAATTGTATTTCGTGTTATTTTCTAATTCTAACTTCTGCCTTGTTATTTTGTGATATTTTCTTTTATTATTGTTAATCCATAAAAATGAATGATTAATCATAATATTGTTAACAATAATAAATATTGTGCTAAAAAAAAAGCAGAAAATGTTGTAAAAATAGATTTGTTTATATTTATATTTACTCCTATGTCCTAGTGAATATTTTTACTGGAATTTCTGAGAATTATATTTTTAAAGATCACTTGTCTTATATCAGGGCGTATATAACTAATAGTTCCAACCCGTGATTTCTTTCAATTCAAGCC